CATAATGTAGCTTTAAAAGTTGGCTGTACAGTTACTTGATAAATAAAGGTGTTGCTGAGAAATAAATCACAGGAGGATGACGGGATGGGTGGACTCTAATCCATTTTCTTTCAAAACTTTCCAGAGAACTGTAGACTGGATCTGAATATAATTAGTAAGAAGAAAGAATACTTTAAATGATTAATTTTTTTTTTTTTAGCCCACAAGTTAAAGACTTTGGAGGCAATCTTTGTAATACCTATCATCTCTTCATAATATGTTGGTGTTTCTCTAGGCATCTATTTAGTGAATTATAACCATTGTGGTAAGTTAGATTCCTGATGTAGCAATCTAATGGGAAATGTCTTAATAAATTTTTTCAGTATACCACTGGGCTGTGATGTTTCATTCAGCTAATTATTGAACTCTTACTATATACCAGCCATGTGATATAGGTCCTGAGAATATACAGATGAATAAGGAATGGTTCCTGTATTTAAGTAACCTCTTACTCATTCTAAGGTGGATTTCAGAAATATCTTATTTAAAAATGCATCTGTGTTTTGTTTTGATTTATTGGAAATGCTATAAATCAGTCAACTAGCAAGTGTTGGTGGGGAAAGCTATCAGTACTTCAGACAATTAGATACATGCTTCTTAAACTGTAATTAAAAACTTTATATTTCCATTTAAATATAATCTAAAACATTGGAAATAATTTGGATCATGTGGTTGCCATCTTATATAGTAGTATCACATAATTATGGAACCTACTTGTATTCTTCCAAGTGAACATTGAAAGGGTTTGTGGACTTTCGGTGGCCTAAGTGGGTCGATATCATCTGTAGATATGTGATGACTTGGGTGAGACTGCTGTTGACTGATTGGCACTCTGAGGTGTGTGTGTGTGTGTGTGTGTGTTTTGTTTTGTTTTTTGGAGTGAGTTTGTTCCTGATAGACTGATGTTTCAAAGTGAAGGACTGTCATAGATTGGTTGATTGGCAAAAGCTTGTTCATTTAGCTTGAGTTTTTGTTGACCTATTGGAGAGGTTTAAAACAGTTTTAGTGGCTCTGTCTTATCAATGCTACAGAAATAGCTGTCTTTGTGGAAACGTAGGAACTTAAAAATGTTTTCAGTTTGAGATTTTGTTTTAATCATAAAGAAGTTTCAAATACTTTTATAATGAGAGAAAGTACTATTATTTTATAGTAGAGGACATTTGGAAAGATGAGATTCACCCCAAAGTAAAAATATCTTTATTGTTTTATCTGAACAGAAAATTAATATTCATTGTAAAAAAATTAAATAATAAAGATGTAAAGAGTGAAGGTCACTGGTTAATACTACCTCAGATTTGGTCACTGTTAACATTTTACTATATAGATTTCTTAGGCTTAATTTTGAATCCTAGTTCTTCATTTAGTACATGTGCTGTCTTGGTCAAGTTACTGAACCTCTCTGTGCTTCAGTTTCTTCATGTGTAAAATAGGAGTAATAGTACCTGTTCATTGAATTGTGAATTGAAAATGAATTAATTTACCCACCTTGCCTGCACCTGCCCCAAGCCAGCGGTTCTCTACTCCCCCGCATCCAGTGAGACACACAGTGTACCGACGCCGACCGAGCGGACACAGGCAGAGCGATGGTGGCCAGGCTCGGACTGGGGTTGCTGCTTCTGGCGCTGCTCCTACCCGCACAGATTTATTCAAATCAAACAGCTGTTGTAACACTTTCAAGTAACTTCTCCTCCCATAGTACCTCGACTGCCCCAAATCCAGCTAATGCCACCACCACACCAACTGGCGGTGCTCTGCAGTCAACAGCCAGTCTCTTCGTGATCTTGTTCTCCCTTCTACATCTCTACTGTTAAAAGACTTGGGCCAAGAAACATCTATACTTCCCCATCTTCTAAACCCAATCCCAGTGGCGTCTAGACACATCCAGTGTGACAAGGAAAAAAAACAGGTCTTCATTGAATCTGCTAATTCCACACCTTATTTTATTGACAGAAAATGTTGAGGATCCCAAATTTGATTGGTTTGAAGAACATGTGAAGGGTTTGACTAGATGATGAATGTCTATTAAATCTACTGGAGTTTCATGTACAAGATGAAGCGAGAACATCCAAGATTAGTCAACAGATCATTTCTTTAAATGTGGCTTAAAAGTATGGATATGTAAAATTTCACCTTGAAAATGAGAATAGATTTTATCTTACCTTGATATAAAAGATGGGATGCGAACAGATTCAGTTTTCATTTGGTTCATTAAATCTTTAAGGCCATAAAACAGTTAATGCAAAAAGCTTCCATGATTCTATTTATATGTACATTAGAAGGAACTTCCAGGTGTTACTGTAAATCCTCAATGCATTGTTTCAGCAGTAGTAACTTAATGCCTGTATACTCTAGATGAAAGTTTCATCTTGTTAAGCTATCACTGTTTCTTGGGAACTGAACTCTTTCCTCTGAGGCTTTGGATTTGATATTGCATTTGATTTTTTTATATAGTAATTGACATATGCCAGGGCAATGATGGGTTGGAATCTACCCCCGATTGAAGCATAATGAGTAAATTTTGCTTATATACCGATCACTTATTCCTATTCAACAAGCGTGCCACATTCATTTAGCTAAACTGATTCCAAAGAGTAGAAGAACATTGACCTCAGCTAATTTCAAAATGCTTTTTATTTCTGCATATGTTGAATACTTTTTAAAATTAAAAAAAATCTGTTTTGAAGGTAAAATTGACAAATCTTGAAATTAAAAAGGCAAAATATGTGCAGGAGCCAAAATTGTAAATCAAGTATTTGGGAAGTGAAGACTGGAAGCTTACATTAAATTCAGAAAAACTTTTAAACTCTTTCTGTAAATACCTTTTTTTTTTGACTCTGAATCAGAATAGCCACATTTGGAACACTTTCTGTTAGTCAGTATTTTCAGATAGTTAGAACCTGGTCCTAAGCCTAAAGTGGGCTTGATTCTGGGAAGTACATCTTTTTACAACTGCCTCGATGCACAGAAAGCTTTATGAAAATAGATACTCTGAGGTGTTTTGTTCGCATGGTCACACACTGATTCTTAGATATTCCAGTATCTAATATGGCCACAGTAGTCTTGATAACCAAAGTCATTTTTTCCCATCTTTAGGAACCTACACCAGAACAACCACATCCAACAGATCTCAAGCAAAATGGAATGAACATTCCATTTTGTTTCATACCTGAATGTATATCTATTTTGGATTATATTTTGGATTATATGTTTGTGTATTTATGCTTTGATTTATAGTAACTTTTCATGTTATGGAATTGATTTGCATTGAACACAAACTGTAAATAAAAAGAAATGGCTGAAAGAACAATCTAAAAAAATAAAATGAATTAATTTAAGTAAAACATTGAGACTAGCACCTGGCATATAGTTAGTGCTGTGTCAAAGGAAATTGGAGGATGAGGGAAGGAAGACCATGGCAGTTATCTTTTAAAAAGTTCAGATTGGTGGGGCGCCTGGGTGGCTCAGTTGGTTAAACGACTGCCTTCGGCTCAGGTCATGATCCTGGAGTCCTGGGATCGAGTCCCACATCGGGCTCCCTGCTCAGCGGGGAGTCTGCTTCTCCCTCTGACCCTCTTCCCTCTTGTGCTTTCTCTCTCTCAAATAAATAAATAAAATCTTTAAAAAAAAAAAAAAAGTTCAGATTGGTTAGTAGGACATAAAACATGGCCTGGTGTAGCACTCTTTTTCCTTTCCAGCGTCAGTTTCACCTATTTCCAACTACTTCCCCTCATTTCCTGTGCTCTTTGAACATTCCATAAACTTTTAGATTTGTACTCTGCTGATATATAAGATACTTGAGAAGGAAGAAACAGGCTGTGAGCAGTGTCAGAAAGAAGCAGTTGTTGAATTTCAACTCAAATTCTAAATTTTATTTAATTTTTCTGTTCATCATAATTCTGTTATAGACTTAGTGATTAAATTGCCATTTAAAACAGTTTCGGAAGACTTCCAGTCTTTTGGAATTTTTATTACATTAAATTGGTATTATTGTCATACCTTATTCTTACTGAGCTGAAAATATCATGTAATGTATATTGGAATGTGAATATTACCATATGGTCAGGGTTGGGGCTCCAGCACCTTTTGATTGATGAAGAAACATAAGTTCAAATACTATGTAGTTAGTGGACAGAACCCAAGATCTTTATAGTTATTTGTATCCCTCATTTTGAAAATGTTTTTACAATTCAGCTAATATTTTAATATTCTTGTTTGAGTTTTGCTCAGGGGTTTTTTATTCCCTTCAAGAGAAAGTGTTACCAGACAGAACTGGTTATGAACTCAGGTTCACCTGCTTGCTGCTTGAAAATCAATAGACAGGTGATGGTGGGAAATGAAAGGTTTCTTTATTCAGGAAGCTGGCAGCCTGGGAAGGAGGTGGACTAATGTTCCAAAGCCCATCTTCCCTGTCCAGGCAAAGCCAGAAAGTATTTTAAAGGGGAAGATGTGGGACATTGGGGCTAGGGGTGGCTACCTGCAGGAGAAGGTGGTGCCCAGGCAAATAGTCATATGTTGGCATGGCCCTGAACATACTTGCTGGCATCAGCAGCAGCTGTGTTCCAATGTGGTGAGGACTACTCCTCTGGGGAAGTCAGGTCCTTTACTCCTTAAGGCTGGTGGTCTGCAGTTCTCAAGGAAAGTAGGTTAGTTCATCTACAGACCAAGGGACTTAGGTCAGCAAACAAGGAGTGCATTAGCTTGAAGCAAGTTAACCATTAAGACCTTTTGGAGTGTTGTTACAGAACACCTTGATAGGGTGTTGCTATTATAGATTAGGTTATTAAAATGCTTATTTTACAAGCTTTTTTTGTTGCCATTCATTATCCTACAATATATTATCTTTATGTTACAATATAAGCTATTCAGTTATTTACTTCAGGAAAATTGAGAATGGATTTGGTATACAAAACATTGAATTTTTAATTTTAGCTAGGATTAAATCATTTTATTTTTTTTAACAGATCAAGAAGTTAGTATATGTTTACCTGGTCCGGTATGCTGAAGAACAGCAGGATCTGGCGCTCTTGTCCATAAGCACTTTCCAGCGAGCTCTGAAGGTAAATAATAGAGTGAGCCAGCAAGTAGCTACAAGGTTGGTGCAAAGTTGAAAGTGTGTGATTTAAAGAACTGGAGCAATAATCTAAATGGCACAGTAGTGTTTTGAGAGTTGAAAAGCCTCTCACATTGCCTGTTCAGTGTTCATAGAAAATAATGTCTATGACCAACTAGACCTTTCCCAGTGTGTTTCATTTTCTGTAGGTTCCTTTATATTTTATTTAATCATTATCATGCATCAAAGAACTCTTCATCATTATACCAACTGGTGGTTGAAAGTGTGTAATGAGGGGACACGACTTTTTAAAGATAAAATTTATAACTTGTAGCATTTTATCATTGTAAAACTCTAAAAACCCAACATGTTTAGTAATGAATGATCAGCTAGAATTATAACCATTACTTTTCTTGTTCAAACATTATTCAGAGAAATAAACATTTACTTAACTGTTTTTCCTTACGCATTTCCATATACTAATTCTTTAAGTAGCTTTTTTCTATTGTTATATTGTACTCTGTGAGCACCAATTAACTGTGTCATAAAGATACTGTTGAAGTGTTAAACCTGAAATTTTGATGAATATTTTTGCACTATTTTTAGGACCCAAATCAACTAATCCGTGCAAGTGCTTTGAGAGTTCTGTCAAGTATTAGAGTACCAATTATTGTACCTATTATGATGCTTGCTATTAAGGAGGCTTCAGCTGATTTATCACCATATGTTAGGAAGAATGCAGCCCATGCAATACAGAAATTATACAGGTAGGTGCTTTATTAATAATACCAGTGACCTCTAATGGTACGTGGAATGTTACATCCCATGGAGGCTTATTTGATTAGCTCTTACAGTTGGTCTGTCCTTATACTAAGTAAACCCAGTGATGGTTTTTCTCCCCACAAACATTCTTTAGATATTTTTAACTTTATTTTGGCTATAGAGACCCTATGCTAGTTTTTACTTGTGAGCCTGTTAGGGCCTGTGATAATTTTATAGAGTTTATAACTTCAAAATGAATGGAATTTGAATTCTCATTTATATAGTGTATCTCTCATGTACATATACATGTATATTATTAGAAAATTAAGACTTTTTTCTGTTTATTGTAGGGTAGAATCTTAGGTGTATTATCCTCTCGATTCACTTTGTTCTTTTTTTTAAATTTCTTAAACATTTTTTATATCTTTTTTAATTTCTTTTATTTATTATTTAAATTCAATTACTTAACATATAATGTATTATTATTTTCAGATGTAGAGGTCAGTGATTCATCAGTCTACATAATACCCAGTGTTCATGATTACATCATGTGTCCTCCTTAATGTCCATCACCCAGTTACCCCATCCCTCCACCCATTCCCCTCCTGCAACCCTGAGTTTCCTATGATTAAGAGTCTCTTATGGTTTGTCTCCCTCTCTGGTTTCATCTTGTTTTATTTTTCCCTCTCTTCCCCTGTGATCCTCTATTTTATTTCTTAAATACCACGTATGAGTAAAATCATATGATAATTCTCTTTCTCTGATTGACTTACTTTGCTTAGCATAATACCCTCTAGTTCCATTCACGTCATTACAAATGGCAAGATTTCATTTTTTTGATGGCTGGGTAGTATTCCGTTGTGTGTGTGTATGTGTATGTGTGTATCCCACATCTTCTTTATCCATTTATCTATCGATAGACATCTGGGCTCTTTCCATAGTTTGGCTATTGTGGACATTGCTGCTATAAACATTGGGGTGCAGCTGCCCCTTTGGATCACTACATTTGTATCTCTGTGTCTATCAACTCACTTTGTTCTCCTTTCTTCCATCTTTGGCCCTGATGTTCCCTTCCTTGTCTGATTCTTTTATAGAGCTATTTTATTGAATTTTAAAATGCTAATTTTGAAATGCAGCCCCATACTGTATTTATATGATATTTATTAAATATCATACAATGCCTTAATCCTTGTGGAAAACATATTGCCTAAATAAAAGAGTTATTATCTATAGTATTTGGCATTATTTTCTGTTAGCATTGATTCCACAAGCTTTTATCAAGATCATTTTGTGTTTTGGTGTTGGGTTATATGTGTAAGATAGATGAAAATGGTAGAGGATGTATTATCACTATTTAGGAAAAAAAAATCAAACCAGTGACAATTAATTAAAGGCAATCTATAATTAAATAAGATATTAGCATATGATATATATGTATATAGAAAGGCATACTAACCATGACTTTGATAGGATATGACTCGGAGATTGTCATATAGAGCTTCATAATGTAAAGATGTAATGAAGTGGGATTAGTTAGGAAAGACTGCTTGGAGAAGGAAGACTGGAGCTAGAATTTGAAAGAATTACAAAGTTTGTTCAAATAATTATAATGGTTAGTAATAAACTTACATAAGTGTGTAAAAAGTAAAAATTCATTTTCTAGGTTAACTGTCAGACAAAGTTATATCATACTTCTCACTATCTTTTCTTGCTTATATACTTGCAGAATAGGATCCAAGCTCACTGTGACAGATTAAAAATCCATCACTGGACCCCATTTTACCTCTCCACCCCCAACCCTTATTCTCCTTGCCTGCAATTTACCGTCCAATAGCTCAGTACTGCCTGTTAGTCCTCTACATAAAATAAATGTTTTTAACTTATGACCATCTGTTTAGTCTTGACCTAGAAAATTTTCTCCCTTTTTCAGTTAAAGCCATATTGTTAAGATTCATCTGTTATGTCACTTCTTGTAAGAAACCCTCCATAATCCTTCTTCCTGCATTGGTGCTCTTCTTATGCCTGTTATCCCTTGTACATGTTTCTGTTATATGGAATGATTATGTTTGGGACTTTCTTTACTAGACTGTCTTATTTATCTTTGTATAACTATTCTTCAGCTTCACAGTAAATGGACAGCAGTTGAATTCCATGTTAGGAAGAAATTATATTGTTATCAGTATTTCAGTGCTTAGAGCTGCTAATAGGACGCATTTCTTAATTCTGTATATATGTAAGCCTTTGCTTATTTTTTTTGTTTTTAGATGGCAGGTTTTGTAATGCATGTCTCTATTATTGAACTGAAATGATAAAAAATTCCTATTTAGGAATTCTCTATTTGTTTTTGACCATTATGTATCCATAGTCAAAAATCATTGCTGTTCTGTTACTTTTTCCCGTCAGTTAAAAGAGGAATTCATCATTTATCTACTTGTAATTACTTTTTAAAGATTTTCCAACTATTTTTTAGAAGTGAAGTTGATTTTTAAATACTTTCTTAACGGTGTGACTGTCTGGGTTTAATTAATATGAGCAACTTTAAAGAGAAAGATTAGGACATATTTGGGAGGAAAGAAAAGTCCCATTTTATTTCAGATTTGTTTTGTTTCTGTCTTTACATAATTCTTGCTCTCCCTCCCCCCTAAAAAATTCTCTTAATATTCTTGAAATGATTAGCGTCGTTTAAAATTTGAATTAAAGGGAAAAAATTTAATGTATGTTCTTTTCTTTTTATGTTTTAGCCTTGATCCAGAGCAGAAGGAAATGTTAATTGAAGTAATTGAAAAACTTCTAAAGGATAAAAGCACAGTAAGTGATAACCTTTTTATGTCAAATTAAAATTGTGTTTTATTTACATAGTATTTTGCCATAGTATATGTGGTATAATTATTTTTACTGGTTTTGAAGTGGTATAAATATTAGTGCAGTTCGTTAAAATCCTTGAAGAACAAAAATGTGTTTATAAAGAGAAATGTTGTATTTAGAATTTTAGCTTATTACATGTTTCTTCATCTGGAATCAGAAGAACAAATGGGGGTGAAAATCCTTTCTTTAATCTGTGGCTAAATTTTTGACTGCTTTGAGTGCAAAAGTTTTTATTTTAAGCAGTGATTTATTAGGATTTTTAAAGGCTGAATCACCTGGGAACAAATAGTTGTTTTAAAATAAAGTATTAGTAAGCATTAAAGAGATATTAAAAAATTAGAGGAGTATTATAAATGTGTTTTTTAAAAAAGATTCTAAAACATTTTTTTATTTATAGGACTGTTTTATTGCTGGTAAAAGTGATCTTACTGGCTAATGAAAGTCATCTTTTGTGAATGTACTTAACTCCTCCTTCTCCCTTTCCCACTCCCGTTCTTTTTGTATAGTGATAATGAGATCTAGGAACAGTGATGATCCATGGGATCTGCCTGTTTTGTCTGACATAAGTACTATTTTGCCTTCTTATGGTTGCTGCTTACATGATACATCTTTTTCTTTGCTTTTACTCTCAACCTGTTGGTAGTTTTGAATCCAGTGTGTATCTCCTGTAGACAGCATATAGTTGGATATTGTTTATTAATCCACTGTGACAATTGTGCCTTTTGATTATACATGGTTTAATCCATTTACATTTAATGTTATTGATCTAGTTGAATTTATAGCTGCTATTTACTTGTTTTTCTGTCTCATGTCTTTTTGTTCCTCTTTCCTCTTTTACTGCTTTCTATTTACATTAAATGAATACAGTCTTTTGAACATTTTACTTCCTTTAATGAGTTTTTCACTATGTACTTTTTCTTCCCGCCATGTATTTTGAAAATATTGTTTTATACATGAAATTATGGTTAGAGACTTCATTCCTAAGCCATCCAGCATATTTAGTCTGTAATGTAGCAGAAATCTTCATTGTATTTCTTCTATAGTGCTTGATGTAATGTAGGAGGTAAGTAAATATAGATTTGCCCAATAAATGAAGACAGAAAAGAAATTTGATTTCTTTTTGTCTTCTGTCTGGCATACTTATTATCTGCTTCTAGGACCCAGATGTGGAATCAGTATTATTGGTATTATGGTTAACTAGATTTTGGTAATAATACAAAAACATTTGGTTTCTTTGACATGCAAGACATTTGCCAAGGACTGTGGAGAATATAGTAAGATCTGTAAGAAACAGATCCTTTAATTTAGTTTACCACGATTTCTGTTACATTATAGACTAAAAGAAATTTGTTGCATGGCCCAGGAATGAAATCTCCATTTATAATGTGTGCATGTCTTCCTAAAAAAGATATGTCACAGGTGAAAATTGCAGTCTTTGTAATAAGGCAGAATTGGGTTTGTGTCTAAACTTCTCCCCTTTGGTAGCTATGTATTAAGCCTTCATAAGTTTCAGTTTCCAAATTTGTGAGGCTTGTAATTTCTAATGTATAAAGTTTTGTTTTGAAAGAGCTGTTGTATATATAACCCTGATCATAGTGCCTGACACCATAAAAGGGGGTTAATACATATTCCCAATAAGAAATAAATGCCTGAAAAAGGAATGTAAAGGATAATTTCTTTGTAAATTTGCAACCATTGGTTATTAATTTCTGACCATTTATTTCCAAAATACGGTAGAAAACATTGAATACTTGTTCATAGTAGGTATTTAGTATTTGTTGAATGATTGTGGAATTAATTTGGTGATAGTAATTAGGTGATAGCAATTAGGTGTTTACTATCATTTTTTGGAGATAGTAATTAGTAATTACTAATATTTTTGGTGATAATAATTAGGTGTTTACTATATTTTTAACACTTTGCTTCCCAAATGATGTACATCATATTCGGTGTTTGCAGGTAGATCTTATGGGAGCTTTGATGGTCTGTCACTAATGAGGCACTCCTTTTTCCTAAAGTGTTACATGTTTATGTATTTTTTAACTCAAAAGACATCTATATCTATTTTTCTATCTGTGTTAAATGTCAGTAGTTTATACTGATGCCTCTAATTCCAGTACAGTAGTACGGGGTTCCTTCTAGCCTCCCACCTTTTCAGCTTCTTTCTCCAGCATTAAAAAACGTAGCTCTCATTATCTTCAGTATATTTACTTACTTGTTCAGTCCCAAGATGAAGAGCAAGTGTTTCAGAATTGCTAGCATGTACCTGTGTGGGGAGTGTTGAGATGGGGATTGCTAATTGAATTAAATATTGGTCTAGAGTTGTATTAATATGTAGTCTGACTTCTTTGATGTTACTGTAAATTGAAATTGCTTTATCTTTTTATTGTTAAACTTGTTATATTGGTATATAAAAAAAGCTCTTGATTTTCTGTATGGTAGTTTTATATCTTGCTTCCTTACCAAGTTCTTTTATTTTTGATTTAGTTATATCATTCATTCTCCATAGTTTATTCTAGAAAATATCTCATCTGCCAGTAGAGTGATTTTACTTCTTCTTTTCCAATTCTTATGACTAATTAATTTCTCTTGTGTAATTGACATTTAAAACAGTAAGAATCGGGGCTCCTGGATGGCTCAGTAGGTTAATCATCTACCTTCCACTCAGGTCATGATCTCAAGGTGCTGGGATCCACGTCAGCTCCCTGCTCAGTGAGGAGTCTGCTTCTCTCTCTCCCTCTACCCCTTCTGCCTGTTCATGCTCGCTCTCTCTGTCTCTCTCAAAGAAATAAATAAAATAAAATAAAAAAACCAGTAAGAATCCCAAATCATTTTTGTTTAAAAATTTCCCAATTAAGTGAACCGTGCACGTCTAATTTATTTCCACATTTTGAAAAGGAATTTGTTATCAGCAGGAGCTTCTTGGGATCACTATCATGATGTTAACGTTGCTATTGCTGCTGATAAATATAAATTTAATGTATTTAAAACTTTTCTTCACTTAACATTTTGACTTTGAGATACATCTTCTGTTGCTTCTTTTAGCCTAAAGGAAGACTTTCTGACAATTAAGATCTCAAAGACAGTGAGTTCTATAACTCTCATTTTAAGGAAAGGTGGAAATATAAACATATTAAAAGAGAATGCATTTTCATTTTACTAGAGTATGACCAATATTTATCATAAAATAGTCCTTTTTAAAAAATGCATCATGTAAGGTTAAGGAATATTGTTATGGTAAGATAACTGGAAGAAAATTTTAGAGCTACTTAGGTAACTATTATCTAAAGGTTACCTATAAATTTTGAAAGATACCCTACAACTATAGTCAGTAAAATTAAAAGGGAATATTTTAATAATGTTCCATTATCCCCATTCAGCTGTTACAACTTCTCTTTATATAATTTCTTCATTGTATGTTCCTAGATTTACCGTTATCCTCCTGTGTTCTCTATTTAACATATCCTAAATACTCCTTTTTGATGTTTAGTTACAAATTCATTTTTAAAATTTATAATGCTTTCTCTGGTTTGCCTTTAAAAGGTAGAAATCCATTATTTGTTGAGCAATTTAAGCATAGCAGTGGACAGTCTTATTTACAACACCTCAAAAGCAAGGTGGTATTTATTTCTTCCTGTTTCTTTCAGGTTAATTTTAAAGAAATCCTATGGATAGCATTTAACTTTCTAATAGAAAACAGAGTTTCTTAAGAAAACAGATTTGGTCAATGCTTACTGAAAAACTCAGTTTATATATTTTTTATGACAATGTTTCTCCTTAATTTAGCTACAAAATGATGTTTAATGAATATATTGGTAGTTCATAACTAAACTATGGGGGTAAGACAGCATTTTATAAGTTATTGATTTAATGTTGGTGAAAGCCTCACTGTTGTGGGCAAAAAAACCCCCCATACCTCTGATTTTGTGCAGATGTTTTATTGTGATAGATCTATTATCCAGCTATTAGAAGATAAATGACTGATCTTTCCCATTTTCCATGCCTCAAGAAAATTGAAATAAGAAGGGGAATATCATTTGGGCTGTATGATTAGGGCAGGTTGGATGGCCATTAATTTAAGAGAAGAAAATCTTGGCAGCATTGGCCAACTTACACCATATTATCAATCAAACCTTGATGCACTTCTTGTGATGACCCAGCACTCTCAGGTTTTTGCAACGTTAATTAGAATTCATGACAAAATAGATGCAAGGAAACGTTTTGTACCCTTCATAATTTTATAGAAAATTTATTGTTATTAGAGGAACCATTTGCTTAGTGTGATTTTTTTCATTACCAGCTTGTCAACTAGCATAGATAATCTGGAGAAAATATGAACTCCATAGATGGGGTGTCACTTTTGTTGATGGTTCATGTAGTTTACCTTGGAGCACAGCTAATGGCTGAAGTTCATAGCAACAGCACAGAAAAACATGGCAACCAAGGGAAGATAAATGAACCATGTTTATAGCTTTAATATAAAAAATACATAAATGGAAAACTGCATTTGAATTTGATGAGCTCATTGCTAGTTTTGTTAGAGTGATTTATTTTTCCCCTTATATAAAAAGCTACTATTGACACAGTGAGATGGAAATTAACTGTCTGTTTTTGGGAAACCAATATTTTTGGTTTTAAAATCTGAGTAGATCATTTTATTTTAATTCTTGAGGTTTTATAGAATATTGAACATGTAACAGACCAAAATTACCAATTCTGGCATTGTTTAACCTAGGGTTAGTTTGTTAAATCCATACAATGAAATACCTAAAATGGTCAGTTTTATTTTGTGAAGATAGTTTTCTTTATATTCTAATTATTTTTGTCTTTCCTTAAAGTTTATTTGTACTTAAGTATTTTCTTTTTTCCATTATCGGTTAGTACTTTAGAATTATGTTGTACCTATAGCTCTCAGTTTAATAAATTTAATGACATTTGGTAGCTGATTTTTCTTTTAATTAAACGCTTTGAAAAAGATCTAGGCTTAGGCAAAATGCTTGATTTTACATAGTATTTCTTAAATTGAAACTTCGTTGAATTGCTATTTCAGTTTCATGGACTATTTTATTCTAAGTGGTATTATTTATTTTTGTACTTTAGTATCCTATATCAGTTGATATGTATGTCTTCTATTAATGTAAGATTGACCTATATATAAAATATATCTATGAGTAGATTTCACAAATACTAATTTATTTTATAGTTTGATGTCATGAAGTTTAGTTGTTTTAAGAGATTTTTAAATGATACAAAATCTAACTCTTTAGAAATATTATCACAGAATATAATTTTCGAAGAGTGATTTGTGCAGAGGATATCAAAATGTGGAGATGAAAACATAAACTTAACTTCCTTTCCATATCAATAGCAAATAGGAAATTATACGTATAATACATTTTTTATTTAGTTCACACAAATAATCAATTCTTTGCTTTTTCGATTGAAGTACATTCATGCTGGGACCAGCAGGCACCAGTACATGGGCAGGGCTGGAGTCAATAAATGCGGCTTCACGTTTATACTGATTGGTAATTCATAAAATCCCCACAGGACTAGAAACTTGTTTAGCATAATAGCAAGTCTATATTCTGAGCTGTTTTCTTTCAATTGTATTGTTGGTTGCATATTAATAAACTAAATGTCAGCCAAGTAGAGGGACAAACACTAAAAATACAAATATCATTGTTATCTAGTATTTTTCAGAAAGTACCATTTCAGTAAGTTACATTTCTATTTAATTGCTTATTTTAAGTCATTGGGGAAATTTTAGACACTAAAATGAAGATCCCTAGTGTTTAGAAGGAATATGATATTAATTTATTTTTTCAACAGTATTATATTGTTGGCTAACTGCACATATATCAGTGGTACATATATGGAACTATTTGTATATTATGTATTCTACTTAGCTTGTATCTTTATCCCAAAGATATCTTAATTTCACTGCTTTGCCCAAGTATGACAATTACAAAAACAGCACTTATGGTTCATTAATTGGTCTTGGAGAGAGCTGACTTTTGTTGGTAATACATTATTTCATCTTATACACATTGTTACATAGGTTATAATAACACACTAAAATTTTAGCCTGTGTGTTTTCTTTGTAAATGAAATATTGGTAAAAATTAACAGGTGGATTAAAATGTTGAAGATTTGAAAGTATTTTGTACCAGAAACACTTAGGAGTTCCTCACAAACTTTAAAATAAATTCATTGTCTTTCTCATTTTAAACTGACATGATGTGGTCTTTGTTACTGTCTTGATTATTTTTCTGAATGTTGTTATGTACTAAATAATGAATCATTCAATTGGAACTTAGGTTATCTTTAAAAATGAAAAATGTATATGACGAAAATGTTGAATCCATATATGAACAATTTATTAAAATTTAACTTGACAAAAAATTGTTGGAATTTCTAATACTGATACTTTTAATTTTAATATTTCAGGAAGGTACTAGTTTTTCAGACATGTTACAGGTATAAAATTATTCTTTAAGGGAGTGACACTTAAAATTTGTTATTTATACATGAATAGTCATTTTTTAAATTAAATAACTCAATACTTTAAAATTGTCGTAACACTGATTGTATCTCTGCAATGCCTGAGTAGAATCTTTGATGGAGGGAAAATGTTTTTTAATGAGTTACTATTTCTTCCTTTTCTAGCTGGTAGCTGGGAGTGTTGTGATGGCTTTTGAAGAAGTATGCCCGGACAGAATAGATCTGATTCACAAGAATTACCGCAAGCTCTGTAATTTACTAGTTGATGTAGAAGAGTGGGGACAGGTTGTCATAATCCACATGCTAACTCGATATGCTCGCACACAGTTTGTCAGTCCTTGGAAAGAGGTAAGTGTTGAATGGTCTTCCATTTATAAAGTATACTAAGAAAATGAATGAGCTTTTAAAAATGTGTATAGTTGTAAAATAAAGAGATCTGCATATTTATGGAGGACTCCTTTTTTTCATGTTCTTTTGGAAAGCAGGAAACAAAAATAAATGCAAGGATAATTTTTCATTATTTTGGCACTGATTGATATATACTTAATGACATACAAACTTTTAGTATGATACTTGGCAAGAGGCCCTTGTTAGGAGCAGAGCCTGGTACAGTGTTTGCAGTGATATTGCCAAATCATGGATTTTTTTTAGATTAGTTGCTTTCATATCTTTTAAGTTTCAACTGTTCAAGTGACTCACTTGTACAAGTGGGTAATGTGATTCTAGCACATGTGAATTTATACCTAAGAGAATTTCCTGCCTTTGTAGATAAATATTGCTAAACTTTTAAACTACCTTTTCCTAGTTTTATATTTTAAAATGTTTGTTTTCCTTTTTTTTCACTTAAGCTGATAGAATTTTAGTAAAGTTTATAATTAAATAAACATTAAAATGAAGTTGTTTTCTTTGTGCATATTAACATTAGAGGCATACTTAATACCCTCTTTATTTAATAGACAGTTGAGGAAATTTTATTACATATTTTGCAATAGAGGTCTTTGTGTGTATATATTTAATATTTAAGTGTAAGTTTTAAATTTGTTTAAAAAAAGAAATTAAGTATTACAAGAATAGCACATTCATTCTAATCTTGTGATATTTCTTTTTTGTCTTTTTAAAAAGGTGGAGGGGGGTGGAGAGATGGGCAAAATGGGTGAAGTGGAGTGGGAGATAATAGGCTTCCAGTTATGGAATGAGTAAGTCATGGAGATAAAAGGTACAATTTAGGGAATATATTCAATGATATTGTAAAGTACTGCATGGTGATGGCAGCTACACTTGTGGTGAGCACAGCATAATATATAGAGTTGTCAAATCACTATGTTGTACACCTGAAACTAATGTGATGTGTGTCAACTTATATTTCAATTAAAAAGGAAAAAGGAGTATTACAGAGTTTTAAAATCAACTGCCTAAAAAGTAAAAGACCAGAAATACCCCAATTATATCATAATGGTTTTATACAAACATATAGGTACATACAGTTTGTTGCTCAGTACATTTGAGTGCTGAGTTCATTTCACTTTTGTTAATTAGAAATAAAGTGAGAGGAAAATGTATATAAAATCGAGGAATGTTCATAATATGTATTTTAGATGACATGTTAAGCTCTCAGATGTTTAAGGGGTTTAAATGTTTAAAATATTCATCGATGCTTTTTACAGTGACTTAGTATTGTTAGTATTAAAAAGTATTTTAACATTTTAAAAATATATATTTATCTATAAGAATATTTGTAATACTGACTCCCATCTTAATTTTAATATTAAGAAAGTATTTAGGTTATTTAAAATTGAAATAGTTTTCAATTATTAATATATAAAAATCATGGTATATAGGACACTTAAATTGATGATTGCTTTTTTTTTATAAAGTTAGTTTTATTTGTCACTGAACAAAGTAAACTCTTGATGGCACTTTTGCTGGATTAAGCAACAACATGCCCGTGCTGCAAATGTGTTGGCCCTTTGATGTAAGTGATAACTTTGACAACAGATTTTTGTTGCTAGTAATAAGTTGTTTGATTTCAGCCAGTTCTTTTCCAGAGTGCTGTTCAGATACATTTTTTCCCCCGTTGAAAAGTTATAAAGTAATTTTGCCTTGTCTAACCACTGTCACTTTTTAATAAGATTTTAAATTTTACTTTCCTTTCACCATCAAATCATTTTTGGTATCTCTGTGCACATAATCCTTTGCTTTGTTAATTATGTAGAAATTGGAGTTAAAATACATCTTTCCTTGCCATATCGCCTAAAAATATGTAACAGACTTTAAAATCTCTATGTTTGCAGTTTGTCTATTTATTTGTGTTTATGTTCCTTGAATTTTATTCCATCTTATTTTAGATAAAATTCATGTTGAAAGCTATTTGCAAGTCACAGAGGTTAAATTTTGCACTATCATATATATTTACTCTTTTGACAAATAATTTAAAAAGTTGGGGCTATATGTATGTATTCCATGTGTTTTCACATGTGGATTCTTTAGACATTAATTATTACAAACATGAGATGAACCCTGGTCCTTGTCCTGGGTATACTGAAACTGGCCTAAGTAATTTCTTAACTTTGCCACTTATTTGCACTCTGACCTTGGCATTATTCTAGATTATGTGTTGATAGACTAATTCATTAGTTTTCAAATGTGCACGTCAGGCCTCAGGATGCTGTAACACTGCCACAGGAACAACCACAGGGGGCAGTGGTGCTCTAGACTCTGCCCCTCTCTGGGTTCTTGCTTCTGGTCCAAACAGCAGCATTCATCTTTGTCTGCCTTTCATATACAGCTATGAATATGATTTTCTTTGAGAAAGATTCCTTGGCTTAAAGAAAGAAAAGAAAAGAAGAAAACCTCAATAAAATAGATTTGTAAGGGTGTAGCTAACTGTAACTATAACTATTTTTTTTAAAGATTTTATTTATTTGACAGAGAGAACACAAGCAGAGGGAGAGAGAGGGAGAAGTAGGCTCCCTGCTGAGGAAGGAGCCCAATGTGGGACTTGATCCCAGGATCCTGGGATCATGACCTGGGCCAAAGGCAGCTGCTTAACCGACTGAGCCACCCAAGCATCCCACTATTTTTTTTTTTTTTAAATTAAAGAAGGAATTCAGGTACACAGTGAAATAAAAGATAAATCTTCCTTCTTATAATAACCTCTTGGTTGACTCCGTAGCGGTATTTACTGGCAACTGTTTAATTTCAATTGTTCTAGTGGTTGTAAATTTTACTTTGGATAACACATTTCACTTTATTTATTAATTTAATAAATAAGGTAACAGGCTTTTGTCTTTTTGTATATATATGTATTCTGTTCCATACCAGCAGGAAAGATTTGGAAGGTCATCCTTTATTGCGGTATTAGAAGTTAGAGATTGTCCAACATGTTATTAGCTTTTGGTACAAATACAATTTATAAAATTAAGGTTCAGTTGGATTATCATCATTTAGACCATGCTCATGCTTACTCTTTGAGTTAACCCATCTCAGACTTTCTGTATGGCTTGTCAGAATTCTGTTTAACTGAGCAGCTTTTCAGTGTGCAGTCCAGCCACTTGTAATCTTAGAGGCTTTTTGGCCTAGAGTTTTAAGTTGCATCCAATTTTTTAGGACTACACGTGGTAATTTTAATTTTAATTTTAAAAATGAAAAATTTTAATTTTAATTAAAGGGAATGCCTGGGTGGCTCAGTTGGTTGTGTCTGCCTTCAGCTCAGGTCATAATGCTAGGGTCCTGGGATCAGGAAATCAAGGGATTTCTTTCTCAGGTACTAAGATAATATGTGAAAAATAACATTGTGATACTTTAAGTTTAGCAATTTGTTATTTTGCTGTACTTTTGTAGTATTTTGAGATAGGAAAGTAGCGATTATTACACCCATTTTATAGATAACAAAACTGACGCATATAGATTTTTAACAACTCATGTAAGATAATATTGCTTATAAAATGTGGAGCCAGAAATATGAATAGAGTAATCTGATCTCTAGGTCAACAGTCTTTCCTTTATTTTCTGTTACCTCATGACCTTTTTTTTTTTTTTACCTCATGACTTTTAAATTAAAATATCTTTTTGCTTACTTTAATAAGTTACTCTGTGTTTGCTTATTGCATTCCAATTGAAGCCATATTTGAAGCCCCCCCAAACCATAGTGCTTGGACATTGCAATTAGGTAACAACTATAATTAAATTTGCTTTTCAAAGAGAAAAATCGTGTTTCTCATTGAATTTTTAAAACATTTGTTTATGTTTATATGCTTGAAAGGTAACAAAATTGTTTTTTTGAGGAATTGAAAATTAGTAGAAATACTTTTTGAGATGAGCTGATGTAACATGCTTTTGTCAATAAGTTCTCAAATGAACACATCATATACAAACAAGCTTCTTCAGGGCAGAAGAGATTTTTAATTTAGTTTATTTGCATCATTATAGATCAGTGTTTAGGCTGTTTATATGTAAATGTATGATTTGAGGAACAATTAAGTGTTGACAAAGTAGATTGCAGTCATATCAATTGCAGTGCATTTTCCATAATTTTTCTAACTGACATCTTTGATGATAAATAGTGGATGCCAAGTCAAAGCCGATTATACAGTGCACTAGGAATTCATGGGGCTGTCAGGGAGAAGACCGATTGACTTTAAATTTACATATTAATGAGAAGATTTGTTAAGAGGGTGCTTGACTATAGAAAATAACAGCGTATTTATAGGGCACGACATTTTATAAATAAAGCTGATGCAGGAAAATGGAAATTAAACCTTTTAGGTTAATAAATTCAAGAGACTGCTAAAATGTATATTTGCATTTTTATTTTCTCAAATTTACCTTATTCTTTGCAGTCCATGTAGGTTTTTTTTTTTTTATTCTAGGTCAAGTTTGTATAATTTTCAAGGATATAAAATTACTTAAGTATTTTCTTTGTGTCACTCAAGCCGATTATGGGAGAATACTTGAAGCATAAATGTAAATCTCTTAAGATTAAAGTTTCTTTGGTAGAAGTAATGGATTTAAAAAAATAAATGTTATTAAAAAAAAAAACAAGTAAATTTTAAGAGTATTAAAAAAACCCAAAACCCTTTAGTGGTGTTAATTATAAACTGAAAGAAAGCTTGGGCACACTGGGGCCTGACAGAAAGTTTTTAATTTTATGAATCTAGCTCTTTAGAGGTTAAACTTTCTCTAGGAAATGACAGTTTTGCAAGAATTATCAAAATTTTTTACTTTCATGATCTAGAACTTAAAACTTTATGTACTCAGAGTGACATTTTACTTATGAATCCAGGTAACATAATTTTAGTGGCAGTATGCATTCCATTTTGAAATTTGGAGTGATAAATTTACTTTTATTT